AAACCGGAGTCCATTCAAGTCACAAGAGCAAGACCTAGTAGGTTTAATAAAGCCACCAAATCCACTGGCAGCAGACGGTTTAACAATGACTCATCTCAGCTGCTGAAGTTTGAATTGTGTTGTTCTTCATCATGTGGCTTTGGAGATGCACATGCTTCAAAATTCAGCCATTATCTCATGAGTCAGACTGGAAACAAGCACTCAGGTCGACACACAGCAGCATGTGGTAGTCATTACAGTCCCCGCACTATCACAACACGCACACTCTGGGACGGGAATCTGCGGTATGTGCGACCGCCTCTGCTCTGGGTTCAGATTTAGAGTTTGAACGATGATCTGGCTTCAGGTCAGCTGGAACAAAACTGACACTCGAGTTTAAATTGTTAGGAATTTTAATAACCTGCAAAAGAGCAATCCTTGTGTTTGTACTTTAGATATCAGGAGAAATAGTAGAATCAGGGCTGGGCCTAACAATAAAGATTAAATTATTAAGCTCCACTAGTGTCCCCTAGTGGCTGCAGTGGTTGCTACAGCCAAAATCTATCAATCAAAGTGTTGACAGATTCAACAGCCTACTGATCATTTAAAGTCCTGATGAAATGAAAAAACTGCCTTTTTAACCCATGTATGCCGAGGAATTTACTAAATGTATCACATTTTTTTATGAAAATCCAGTAATTGTGTCTTCCTGTAAAATTAAATGTGACGCGTGCTTACGTCAGCATGAACTAACTGATTTCAACCAATAATATCCTGACATTCACCCGTCAATCAATCTGCAACTTTTAAGGAAGATTCATTTGTTAGCTAGCAACACTGAATTTTGATATAAAAATATAAAGAACCAATATTCTCATGCTCATACACAACAAAAGAAAAGGTTCAATGTTAATTCAATAGAATTACATTTCAGCTCTCAGTAACAAGGAATCCCCTCAGTTTGTATGAATAAAGGTTTAACTTTCAGTCCAGGATGATGTGACGTCTCCGCTGAAACGAGCAGAAACAACCAAACTGCTGCATGTAGAAGAAAGACCAGTTCAGGGGGAGTTTTTGCCTTTAATGAGTTGAACTGTGGGAGGTTTTTCAGACTTTCCTCTGTTTGCAGATTTGATTGTGTGAGAAATTGAGTCAAGATGTTGGAACCTTTTTCTTTTCTTTTTTTTTTCAGAAAACACAGCGGACAGAAACGGAGAGAACAAGAGAGCGACAATAAAACATGTGAGGAATCGTGATGGGATCCTGTCGGGATGAATCACTGTTGTTTCATTTACTCCGCTGTGTTCAGCCTGGGGGAGTTGACGTCAGTCCCTTTCTCCTCGCTGTCTCCAGACTCCTGCAGTTCCCACAACTGTTTCTGCACAGCTGAGTCATACTGCCCCACACACACACACACACACACACACACACACACACACACACACAAACTTCAACCACACCCCCTTACAGAGCAATTTGTGAAAACACTGAGTTCTTAAATTACAAGAGCCATAACAACCAGACTGGAGTTGAATCGATTCTCTTGGGGTGGAAACGCTTACAGCTCCACATCTGCTCACATTATTAGTGCAGTTGGTCACAGCGGGCATCGAACCCCCAACCCCTTGGCAGTGTTAGTGCCTTGCTCCGCAGAGGCCTGTAGCATCCACTCTGCTCTCCACGTCTCGGCTAAAACAAAGCGTCTGCCGGTGCTCGACTTGAAGGCCGACTCGGGTTTCTCAGATGGATTAGCGGAGCGCTGTGGAGGCGGGCAGGCAGTGGAGATCCTAACGATCATGTTAGCGCTGCTGTGCCGAACGCTTTGAAGCAGCGAGAGAGAGCAGAGGTTCAGATTTCATGACTCGGACCATTAAAAACACCAAAAAAAACCGAAGGGGCACTGTATTGTGTTTGGTGACTGTGTGTGTGGTAACAGTAAAGACAGTAACCATTACAGTTTCTGAGTGCCAAGAGCTACTGGCTGGTTGGTTTGTGCCAGATTTAGTATCAAACCAGTGTTGTTGAATGCTTCAGCTCATTAACTACAAATAACATGTGTTTTACATTACTGACCATTTTAAATGTGTTTTTCCAGTCTTCCAATATTGTTTTGATTTGCATTTACTTTATAACACGACGAAAACCTCGACCCTCCATTCAAAAATATGTTTTTCTTCTTGTTCCTACAGTTGGGCAGTTGGAGCTTCAATGTGCAGAGTGATGTTTGTGCAGAGTTTGACCAAGCAGCAACCTCTGTGGCTGCAAATGAAGCCAACACTGAAGCATCAAAACCTGCAGTTCCTCTAACAGCCACTAGAGGCTGGCTCCAGCAGTGAGTCAGTCTCAATTAGAGGCCAGGTCTGGATTTTATTCTTTGGATGTATAAAAACCTCTTAAAACCACCCGGTCGCCTGCTTGAGTGATTTCTAAGCTGCTTAGATCGTCTACACAAATATAAATGTTTCAAGGTGTGATTTGTGACATCACAAACAGTTAGAAAGTCCTGGTCCAGTCTGCAGCTTCTACAGTGAGATCCAGCCGTGCTCATACACTGAAAATGGACCTCAGGGAAGGAGGAGACATCTTGTGTCCAACAGGAAAACATTAGAAATGAACAAAATGTGCAAATTCATAGATTCTGAAATATCTAACGGTAGGTAGAAGGAGTAGACTTTTTAAGGATTTTAATGTGGAAATTATACTTTTTTTTTAGCAGTAAACACACATTAGACACACATTATTGTTTGTTTATGTTGTAATATATTCCACCCGTTTCTCCACCCGGTGAGGCCTTAGGACGCTGCTGTAAGTCCAGAGCAAGATGTCTCGACTACTGCTGTCCAGATTTCCATGAAATCAGCTGCGGATGTTCAGACGATGGATACGGTAAGGCTTTAAGTTGCGTTCTGACAGCCAGTTCCATTTTGGTTTTGTTTTGTTTATTTATTTATGTGCATGTCTTCTGCTTGGCAGCTTGAACTCTAGACCCAGAGACTGAGACCATAAACTCACCAGAGAGCTCATAAACTAACCGAGAAGTCGGCTCATTTCTCCATAAGACTGAATGGTATCAGTGTTTTATTGCAGCCAATGGAGCTGCCCCCTGCTGGCCGTTACATTGAACACAGGTTGAACTTACACTTACTCTGTTCATTATATATTCTGTCAATGTGTAGAAAATACATAATTTGAATTAAATCGGTTAAAACATGCAAAAAACGTCTTCTGAATTAATTTTTTTCCATCAGAGAAATGTAGAAAGAAAGAGACAGTGAGAGTCTGAGAGTGGAAGTTGTGGTCTGGACCAAGGCAAGACCATAATGGCAGAGGGAGAGGAAGGGGGTGAAAGGGGGGAGATTGGCATTGCTTCGTAACGCTTTCGTCCGTCCCACCAAACCTTGCTCTTATCCGCTGAGTGTCTCTCTTTGCTTATCAGTCTCTGATTGAAAATCACAAAGTTTTGCATAACTTCAAAAAAATGCACATAAACACCACCTTCCCCTCTGAGTCGACCGCTGGAGCAGGGCTGTGGCTCCGCTCTCCGTCTGTTACGATGAAAGCTTGAGGCAGAGATTCCTGCAGGAACAGCATTTATTCAAAATGTCCCACGTTGTTTATCTGTGAGGGACGGTCGGTTTGTACGGGTCTTTATAAACGCTCTCACATGTCTACAGAGGACAGTGTGCGATAGAGATGAAGACCAGAGGACGGCTGGTAAACGGAGACAAAGCTTCCTCTGTTCGCTGCCTCCGATAAATGCCCTCATTAGGCGAGATGTCTGGGTCAAAAGAGCAACAAACCGTAACCTTCAGCCCACATCAACCAAACACATGCATGAACAAAATTAATAAGACTAAGACTCTTTGTCCAAATGTCTGGAAGGACATCAGTGACTCCTTCACAGAGTGAGCTCAGTATTGTCACTGGCTGACAGTGTCCAGACATGAGTATGTATTACATGTATTGTAGTATTTGTACTTGGGTTGGGAAATATGTTCACATTTTCCTGACGGTGGCCAGTTGGAAAATGAGTCTGTCCACTGTTCCAACAATCACCAACTCTGCTAACAATCTAACAGAGTTACATGTGAAAATATTCTGGCTCTACGCTGTTGCTGTCTCTCTGATGCCCCCGACCTCCCTCGCTCCTCTACCCGCTTCATACCTCGTCTCCTGTCCCTGCCGTACCCTCGTCTTCCCTGGAGTCAGAGTCCTCTGCAAATCACCTTGCTACTATATTTCCTGTCGTCAAACCAGTGGAAATAAACCCTGATTCCCTGCAGTTAGATGTGAAGATACCCAACATCTGTCCTCTGAGCGACCCTCATTCTTCGCACCATTAAAGTAGCAAAGAAATTACACCCAAAAAACAACCAGCCAATAGCCAATGTATTCATCCAATCACCCAACCCACATTTGTGCTACAATCTAAACTTCATTACATAAGTTTAGGGTTGGAGTAGAGAGCCTTTAATCAAGTCTTAATCCAGTAGCAAACATTCTATTCAGTTTTATTTGTATAGCATCAATTCATAACAGAAGTTATCTCAGGACACTTTTCAAATAGAGCAGGTCTAGACCGAACTCTTTATAACATTATTTACAGAGACCCAACAGTTCCCACCATGAGCAAGACCTGGGCGACAGCGGCAAGGAAAACGTCAGTGGGCCTTTTTCTCAGCATTTGTGTGAAGAAAGCTTAAAGTTTAAATTATTATTTAAAAAAGATATATAGATAAGGTAGAAGACATGAAACTTTTAAAAATCTCACAGTATAAGGGCAGAGTGAAAATATTTTTAAAATACATAATAAAGAGAATTGCATAAAAAGTTATTTAAAAATATCAGTTCATCAGTTGTTTTCTACTGTTATTGTTATGCATTTGAATATGAAATATCCATAAAATATGTCCCTTATACAGTTTACTCAATGATAGAAAAGGAAAAAGGTCGTTTAGGGTGTTTAAAGTAATACCACATATTTAGTAAATACAACTTTCTTCAAATAAATAAATAAAACATTGTTGCTACTGGCAAGACTTTTATTTCTCAAGGTCCAAAAAACACTAAAGTGAAATGTACAAGAAAAATATCATTTAAAAAAAATAAAAAATCCATCATAAACAAAAAAAAAGGCTGACGACTTAGTTTATCCCCCAATCAACAATAGGAAACATGTCACATGACCTCTATACAGTGTTTTGTTGAAGTCTCTCTTCAAGTACCTCCTTTAAAGGTTCCCTGTGGAGTTTCAGACCTCTAGTAGCGCCTTGTTTTAATGAGTGGGTCCTTGTTGTCACACTACTCAACTGCTGAACAGGTGGCGGCACCTCGTGAAGAAAAGCAGTAATGCTCCTACAAGGACTGGGAAGAAGAAAACCGCTATCTAGTAAACATGGATGTAAACAGGATTTAAAATACGAAGGAAAAAAAAGGAAGAAAATGCATTGACACCTTTTGTTTAGACCTCAAGAATACACACAGTGAGTTTTTGTTCGAACACTGAATCTAAACAAGAAAACTCCACAGGGCCCCTTTAAATTGATGCTTCCTAAGTCCCGCCCCTTTTTGCTCTGTGCTCCAATAAAAGTTGAGCTAGCTTCCTCCTTTCCTGTACTTAGTTATGCTATGTGCTAAGCTAATCTATATTGAAAAGACAACCATATTTTGAAGATGGTTAAAAGATAAAAGCGACGTATAAATAGTCACATCTTAAGTTAGCTAATGTAAGCAAAACGTTAGCTAACTAACTAAATCTACATCAGTGGTTAACTAGCTAGTTAGCTAACTATCTAGGTAACTAGCTAGTTAACAACCAGGGTTGGGAGGGTTACTTTAAAAATGTAGTCCGATACAATAACTAATTACCTGTTAAAACATTTAGTCAGTAACCTACGGGTTAGGGTTAGATTGCATTTTGAAATTGTAATCCTTTTTATGAAATGTAACTGTAATCTAATTGCGTATTGTTTTCTGCAACTGTAATAGATTACAGGTAGCTAGCTAGTTGGCTGGATAGTTTGCTAGCACTTTGCAAACATTAGCTAACGAAAGATATGATATGACTATGACTTTCAACATAGATTAGCCTAGCATAGCATGTCTAAGTACAGGAAAGGAGGAAGTTGACCAAAGGTCCAAAAAGGGGCGGGGCTTAGGAAGGATAAATTATGCAGGTTTCAATTGGATTGTTACAAATACATGGAAACAGGAACCAAAGCCTGTTCTCAACTCTTATTTTTACACTGTACAAAATATACAAATTACTACAAACAATGTTGCGTCCCTTGATTTCTTCAGTAGCAAAAGCAATATGTCTGCCACCATGTTGGTTTGTGTATAAAGACCCCTCCCTTTTCACGGACATGTAAAGTACTTACAACAGAACATCCTGGCAAACATACCAACACAACGGTATCAGATAAAGTACAAAACATTTAGTTGAGGCACAAAAATGCCCAAATCCAAAAGGCTAAAAATAAACTATTCTTTCAAGAAACACTTTTGGCGAAAAATATAGAAAAATATTTCCATCAAGAAGTCAACGGCTTACAAAGCTGTCAAACCTTCGACTCCAAATAATACTCATAAATAAAAAAAAAGCAATATCTTAAGGCTCTTGACGATTAAGTTAATAAATCAAATATACACAATGATTAATTAAAAAAATATTTACACATCTATACAGAAACATTGTACATGGACAATTCTTCATATTGACTAAAAATTCCCCCCCCCAAAAAACAAAATAAATATGTTTTTTTTTCCAAATTCATCAGTTGCTGCGGTGCAACGAGGCAGCAGCGCATTCAAATACGGAACTTATTCTCGAATGAAAGATGCATCGAAAGATGATCGTGCACATGAGGCTTTTAGGAACACTTCACACGTCCGAAGTCTGGTGTTTACAAAAGCGTCCACAAAATCGGAGATCCAGCCAACCGCAGTGGACCGTTCAGACCAGTCTCAGTCAAAACATAAATTAAAAACAGCAAAAATCCATCTAGAATTCAACTCTGAACAAAAAAAAGAACATAAAAGTAAACAAAACGCCCACTCGAGGTCACGTCAGTCACTTTGACCCCCGTTGGTTATACAATATACTCCATCCTGTTTACACTTTGGGTCTGCAGTTGCCTGTTGTCCTGTTTGCTAGTCCAGTGTGGGGGTCGTTCCTCCCAGTCCACCAGCGAGTACGCTGGAGGCGCCCGGGGGAACCTTGCCTTCTGCAGCCTTTTGTCCATTTCGTCCTCGTCCGATTGGCTCCCGGTGTCCGACTTCCTAATCTTGGCGTTGACGGAGTTCTTGTCCTCGCGGAGGTGGTGGTGGTGGTGGAGGAGGAGGTGGTGTTGATGGTGGTTCGGTGGGTTTTTCTCGATGGGGTTCTTAATATGGTTGAGCTGCTCGCGGGCGGCGCTGACGCTGTTGTGGAGGGCGTTGTTGTCCTCGGCTGCAGGCACCAAAGACGACGGCGGTGGCGGTTGCGTGCTGACCCCCGTGTGGGCGCTCTGCTTCCTCCGCCTCCTCATGCACCACAGCAACATCGAGGTGATCGCCAACGCCCAGACGACAATCACCACGGACACCAGAAGGGGCACGAGATGGTCTGCCGGACAGAGAGAAAGTGGAGGTCACTGAACAACTCAAGACATTTGATTTACAAACCTCAACTAGGACCGAGACGCTTTGGACAAACATTAAATGAATAAAGGTAAAGAAACACATAGAAATTTGGGGAATTTGTTTGCTGCTTTATAGTCTCGTGATACAGGACGATCAAAGATCTGAGCGCCTACTGATCATCTGAGGATTTCCAAATGCAAAGTGAATGAAGTGAAGAGTTGCCTTAAATTATACCATTTTATGGTCGAAAAAAATAGTTCTGGCTGGTAAAATGTGTCAGTTTATCTGCTATTGGTCTTATCTCTGTAAAATCTGGACCTTGACATCAATTTCAAACCACATCTCATTGATCAGCTCTCTCCGTTTTCACAGAGACAGATCAGTCGGCATCACATTTGGATTATTCAGTCAAACTACAATTCCCAAAGTCCAGAGGGAAGTTTCACACTCAACACATGAGAGAGTTCAAAAGTGCTGACTCACCGTTGGAGTTGTGGCTCTGTCGTTTCTGGACGCGAATCTCGGCGATGGCGCTGATGATGCTGCTGTTGGCGCTCCTCTTGCTCACCAGATCCATGATCTTATCCGTGATTTCCTTGACGAAGGTCATGCTTCTCCTCTGGTCGTCTGTCGACTGATACGTTCAACAGAAAAACTCCATTATGGTCTGTCTGTGGCATTTCAGTCTAAATGAATGCTCATTTTGGTGCCCTCTAATTACCGATCGATGCACAATAGGTCGTGAAAGCTTTTCCATTCCTAAGAAAACTCATCTGGATGCACTTCATTTTTCTGTGGTTTGAAACTGTTTAATCTTTCAAACTTTAAGCATTCTAGTTGTGGCAGCGACAGCGTTTATACCCTGTTGTTGCTCTTATCTCAGTTCTTCCTCCTTTTCCATTTTATAATTCCAGACTTTTGGTAAATGTTAATGTTTTGTACTGGAAGTCCCAACCGGATTATATCAGCTGCTGACAAAAGCTCCATAATTATCACATTACACCGTCAACTCTGAAACTTTTCACAAACTAAAAATCATTGATTTTCAGACATGACTCACGATGGCTACGTGGATCTCGTTGTTGGCGCCGAGGGACAGCTCACAGGTCATGGAGACGAAGGAGTCGGAGGACAGATTCTTGACGACATAGAGGCTCCTGAGCTCGCGGCAAACCTGATCCACCGTCACACCCTGTAACACCACAGCAGAGCAACTCCATCAACAAATTACATCAGCGTGTTAAAAACACCAAAATCCTCAACAAACTACAAGACATCACATAGAGAGATCACATCACCCCCGTCCTCCAATCCTCCACTGGACCCTCATTCAACAAAGAATCCAGATCAAAAAATAAAATCTAAATTTGTAATTTTTGTTGTGCAAAAATCAAAAAATACTTTCTTCTTTACGACTTGAAAATACTTTATACTTGAACCAAACATTTATTACATTCAATCTGATTTTCTTATTGTTTCATGTGTAAAACGTTGAAATAGATTAGTATTTAAGAATTTAAGAATTGTGACCCTATGACACATTTACTTTAATTAGCACAGCAATCCCCTTGTCCTGTCTAGCTAGCTAGCATTAGCACATTAATATCTGAACTATGTATCTGGTACAATCAGCTCAGCTCATAATACACACATAAAGTCAGTAAGAGTTCCCACTGGAGAACATGAAGATTCCCTTTGTTTTAATTCCTACATTGTCCTGAAATAGTCTAGAATTCAGGATTTACAGACACTGAATGGATGATTAAGAAGGTGTTTGACTATTTAAGTAACAAAGTAGGTAGAGTAGTAGTAGAGTAACAAAATGAAAGTCAGACGGAGAGAATGGGAAGAACCTCCGGAGGCGACTGACCCTTGTCATGATGTCTTTGTTGAAGGTGAAGGTGACATTGGTGCAGCTGCTCTCCGGGTGACACCTGGCCGCTGGCGGGGACCGGTTGGCGGGGCCCCAGCACTCCCCCTGGCTGGGGCAGGGCTTGACGAAGCAGCGCTCATCCCTGACGGCCACGCAGGTCTGACCGGCCGGACACTCAGAGCCACGAGTCTTGCGGTGGAGGCTGCAGGGTTTAGGTCCACACCAAAGCTGTCGGAGACACAAGGCGGAAAAGGAGGTTAGACTTTCAGCGATGATATTGCAACCAACTCGCCTCACCCTCCTACAGTGGCTGTGGAGTTAAGGTAGAATCTCCCATGTTGCTCAAAACGTTTACAGTAAAAATCTAAATGTTTCTTTTTATTCTTACGTAGCTTTTCTAGAAATGTAATGAGAAACAAATCGAGCTGCATGAATCCATCTTGAACGCCAAATGCGATAAGCGCCAGTTCTACCTTCGTGCAGCTGATTCTCCCATTGTGACAGCCGCAGGTGTTGCAGTCTTCGTCCCATCTGCTTCCATCCAGAGCCACCAGCCCTTCGACCACACAGGACCGCCCCGACGCTGCAGCACAAAAACCACCAGCCGCACCGTCAGGGCATTCGTTTCATGATTCATTAGTTGGTGATTTGAATTTGAGTTTGATTAATGCTTTAATAATGTGAGTATTGATTAACTGTTTCAAACTGAACAGTTAATTTTGGATAAATAAGATGGCTGCAGTGAAGATTGTGTCTCAGAACTATTACAGTTACAGAACACACTCAGGTTTTACCTTCTTGGCAGCGCGGGCCGGTTCTTCCTGGCGGACAGACGCAGCGATAACCGTTGATTTCATCCACACAGGTGGCGCCGAAGGAGCAGGGCGACGACTGGCACTCATTGATGTCTGGAGGAGGGGAGCGACAGTTATTAGGTTTGTCCACTGAAATAATAATTACATTTATCTGTCTTCAGTAACATGAGCCAGGTCTTCAGGTCTTCTTCTTGTTTCCGTCCACTGCTGTCGTGAAGTGTCAAGTCGGCTCCAAATTCTCCAGCCAATAGAGCCTCGTTGAGCACCTCAAAGTTTTATGTTAGAAATGTACAGTATGGTCCAGTATTTAGAAACTGCTGGATGTTGGACAATTAGCATAATTAGCATTAAAAATAATAATGATATATCAGCAACTGTTTGGCTGATGGTGGGTGGGGGGGGTTACACTAAATCTATTCCAGACATTTTCAAAATGGCTGATTAAACAGGAAGCGTTCATATTTCAACTCCCGGGATGATTCTGATTTTTGAGTTTATTTTGAAGTTATTTATAGGATTAATCACCACAGTTTGAAGACATATTACGTTTTAATATTTGCCCCAATGACACTGAGCTCTCTTGATTCCAATGTGCATATAAATAACCTCAAAATAAACTAAAAGATTCATCAAAATCAGCCCGCTGGCAGTTGAAATATTTAACTAATCGATTAATGGAGACGTGATCGGCTCTCTGAGCTGCTGAAGTTTGGAAGAGATTAAACAAAAAGGAATAAGGGGGAGGCCGAAAATGAGAGAGACAGAAAGAGCAGGGTCAAAGGTCAATACTCACTGATCCTGCAGTCAGGGCCGGCGAACCCCGGAGCGCATTCACATCGATACCAGTTGTCTCCGTCGACGCAAGTCCCGCTGTTATAACTGCAGGACAGAGAATGATGTTTAACACTAAACTACAGCAGCTCGTCCTGTCAGGACAAAAACAATCTGAATTCAGCTGATAATCAATAACCCTGATCTCACTGAGCTGGAGCCTCGAGCCTGACCCTAATCTTAATTATAGGCAGGAAATATTTGAGTTTTCTGATCAGTGTGTTTCAGAGATACGAGCAGTCTCTAACTCTGTGGCTTGGAGAGACGAGTGGGAGATAAAAAGTGAAACTGGCAGCAGCGGAGTGGTTTTATTCCAGATTCGATTCAGTGAAAGGAAAGTTGACGAGGAGGCGGCCAGAAAGGAGAATTTAATGTAGCTCCTGACGGTTTATCACTTAAAATGGCAAACCTTACGCTGTGAACTCAGAGGATTTTTTAAATCTTGAGCTTTGAAAAATGTCAGAAATACTGTGACCTGTGTGTGTGTGAATGAGACTTACCAGGGATGAGGACTGCAGTCGTTGGCATCTGGAAAAGGAAAGAAAATGTAAGCAAGGGAAGCAAATTTTACGCATTAATGAGATTATCTTCAATGTCAATACAAAGACGGGCTGCAAATTCGCCCCACAGTCAGCTTCAGATTTACAAATTCAAATTAAATATCATAAACGTTTGACGACTACTCAACTGTTGGCTTTATCTAACAACTACTAGTCGGCTAGAAACATCTTTACTCAGGAGCAGCCCTACAGTTCAGTAACAAGCTCAAATAATGCAACAATCCTCCATGACGGACTCTAGTTGAGGTCTAACGTGTAGTGCAGTGACTCACTGTGGCTGCAGGTGGCGCCCTCCCAGCCCTCCTTACAGACGCAGCTGAAGGAGTCCCCGTCCACCACACAGGTTCCTCCGTTCTCGCAGGGACTTGGCAGACAGCTGCTGTTCTTCGCTGGAGACACAAACGTGACCGTTAGCCGCCAAACTGACACGGAAACACTGTTTTTTTAAAGAAATAACCCGCCGTCATACTGACCGATGTTACAGGTGGCTCCCTCCCAGCCGGCGGCACACAGACACTTGAAGGCGTCTCCTTTGTCGTAGCATGTCCCTCCGTTGTTACAGGTCGCCTCGTCACACTGACTCTCTCCTGGAAGCAAAAACAGACTTCAGTGAGCAGAAACTCCAACTGAGCAAGACAGAAAATTCCTTCAGCATCTGGAACACCTGGAAAAGTGTGCAGGGTTTACACAACGCACATATTCACAGGGTCACGTTATGTCTCTAACGGCTGGGGTCGCGAGCTCCTCGAAGCTCACACTGGACCCGATAACGGGTCCAGCTCCGTGCACGGTCGCTCATCGAGGCAAACTGTAAAGGGCTTTAGATCAAACTGGAATATAGTGGAAGATACAGCAGCCGGTAGCTCCTTTTAATGGACTACGTATTGGTTTTAACCTGTATTGACCATGAGGTGGTGAAGCAGCATGGACTCATGGGAGTTGTTGTCTCCACCTCCATCCGCACACACTTACTGGAGTGACAGGTCTTTCCCTTCCAGCCGTTGGTGCACTCGCAGTAGAAATCGTTGACCAGATCTCGACAGACGCCTCGGTTCTGACAGGGGGCGGAGCTGCAGTCATCGATGTCTGCGCCACAAAAAACAAAACAAACGTCAAAGCACGTCTCTACTGCTGCAGCTGTGGGTGAAGAGTGAGGAAGAGGAGCACTCACTGTTCTGGCAGGTAGGTCCGTCCCAGCCGTCAGCACAGATGCACTGATACTGGCTGACTTTATCGATACAGGTTCCTCCATTCAGACAGGGGGCGCTCTCACAGTCATTTATATCTGAGAAGAGAAAGAAATAATGTTACTACATTTTATAATCGGTCATCAGTTCAGTTAAAGCAGCACATTCATGTACGCACTCTCGTGGCAGTACGTCCCGGTGAATCCCTCCTCACACTCGCAGCTGAACTGTCCACCGGCGTGACTCCGACACCGCCCGTGAGGGCCGCACACGTTGGACGAAATCAAACGCACCCCGCCCGGTGTGCTGTTGGACGCCACCGCCACTGTGCAGCTGTCAATCACTGGAGTGGAGGAGGAGACAAAGAGAGGGTAAGAGGGCTGACTGTGGACCTAGTGAACAGTAATGCGAGCTGGTCTGTGAAAGGGGGTTTGTATCAGACTAATTCCTGGCTGTTTAATTCCGTTCAAACGGAGGCGGTTTAATAATGGCACACTCAAAGTTTCACCATTTGCACCACTCTTTATCTGATTTGAACGCACCTCCAGTGAGTTTAATCAGGATGCTCAAAGACTATTTGAGTTGGGAGCAAATATGTGATAGACCACGCCCACTTTCACTAATCAATAAGGCATTTGTGGCAAACCCTATGGGTTGAGCACAAACCTGCTGGCGTCGACTTCTTCCCAATCACAACCTGACAAGGCGAGCATGGACATTCACAACACTGGCTCTAGATGAGGCCTTTTGCATTAAACACACATTTGTTGCACATTTTGCGGCCACCGTAGTTTTTCGTACGCAGCTGGAAGGCCGAGCTGTATTCAAACAGTTACAATCTTGTTAGATGCCACTAAATCCTACAAACTGGTCTTTTAGTTAATTGAACACGTACCAGATTATATAATCCTTTCCAAGATCCTAGCTATGAATTTAAATTCTGAATAAATGAACCCAAGCCGAACCTTTGCAGGGTGTGGTGCGGCAGTGGTCCTTCAGGCGTGAGCAGTTCTTGCCCTCATAGTCTTCAGGACACGTGCAGACGTAGTCAGCCGCCAGGTTGAAACACTGGCCGCCGTTTTGACACGGACTGTGGAGGCAGTAATCGATATCCAGCTGCGGACAGAGAGAACAATCCATCAGTGAAAAATGACACTCAAGAGTTTTACTGTTCCTATGACGCCTGTACGTCACCATGGTAACCAGCCACATCGCCAACACGCCTTTGAGAGTATGTCAGAGCCTTGAACTAAAACATGAATATCAATATAGTGTATTTATAAAACGATATGTAGCTCAGATCCTCGCCACAGAGACAGACAGAGGAGTAAAGTTACACATAGCATATAGAATACAGATGTTTATAGACATTAAAAGCAGAAATGTTACATATTACAGCTTTAAGTGATCATTGGACAGGAAGTCGTGTTCCTGGTAAAATACACTTTGCGTTAACGTTTAGCGGGTTAGCGTCGGCTCACCTGACAGCGACTTCCAGAGAAACCAGGCGGACACAGGCAGTGGAAGCCGTTAACTTCGTCGTAGCAGCGACCGCCGTTGAGGCACGGCCCGCTGGAGCACTCGTCCACGTCTTTCTCGCAGAGTTCGCCGGTGAAACCCGGAGCGCACACGCAGTTATACCCGTTCACCAGGTCCTGGATGAGAGAGAAATGAAGTTAAAACCCATTTTCATAGACTTGCCTTTATGTGATGTCTTTTTACTTTGTTCTTTGGCCATTGTTGGGTCAGATACTCGAGTATCTGTGACGTTCGATCAGTTTTGACTTCATGGGGACGTTAAATTCCATCATTAAGGACGCACTGATTCTGATATTCTATATATTGTATAATTTGTAATTTGTAATTTCACCTTCTGTAAAACCTGTCTTCAGTTATTGTTGCTTTCTGGATTTGTGAGCACACTGAACCATAAACTGTGTAAATCAAACTGAGCTGACAGATAATGCTGCTGATGTAATGGAATCTGCGTCAGTAAACACTAAACCATTGTGAGGAGAAGAATGGCCGAACAAAAAAAAAACTTAGCAATCAGCGTTTGAAAAGAACGAAGACAGACTGTTTATCTTCAGTTGGGAAACCAGAACGTTTGGAGAAATCTGATCTGCTGTAGTCATGGCACACACACACAACACACACACACACACACACACACACACACACACACACACACACACAGTCTCTGCCCTACATGCATGGCTCAGTGTTCGCTGTTTATAGCTCTGGTGAAGAAAACGTGTGTGTGTGAAAGAAAAAGGCCTGAAAACAGCGTGTTACCTTGCACGTTGCTCCGTTCCGGCACTGACCCCGACAGTCATTGATATCTGCACAAACAATTCACAACAAGTTTAATAAAAATCATAAAGATTAGTTGCTGGGTGGGTTGTTGAGCAGGATGTTGATTTCATAGATACTTTATATTTCTATTCTGATGGGATGATTCCAGACTAACAAAACTTCAGTCAGTTTAATAAATTGGAGTTGTTTCGGACTTTCACACATCACAGCACTGATTCAAAACACAGCCATTCTTATTTTCAGCTGATTATACACTAATGAACACATATGTATGGATATTATATTTCTGACAATAGATCATCCTCAATGTTACATACTGGACCTTTAAATGACTGAACATCAGCAGCCATTGATAGTTAATAAACTGTGGGTATTAATTAAGCATTTGATGAAAAATCAACGTCAGAGCTCAAAGCAATTTCAAAACAAAAGCCTTTGCAAATATTTTCTATACAAATAAAGATTATTGTTATCGTTGCTGGGGGGTTGAATGTTTTGGCGCCACGTCTGCGTCCACATCGTCTTACTCACTGGTGTCGCAGTTCTGCCCTGTCCAACCCGGGAGGCACTCGCAGAAGTATCCTCCGATCAGATTTCGGCAGGAGTTGGCGTTAACGCAGGGGTTGTCGTCACACTCGTTGGCATCTGAAAGACAGAAAGACAAAAACAGAAGAAACTAATCAGAGAGAGAAAGAGCGGCGTTCACAATGTGAGTGGTTTCATTAAAGCTCCTCCCAGAAATCAGTTCTCTGAGCTCATTGATCATCTGATTTTAAGGGCAGGGGCCTAAAGCATGATTTGTGACATCACAAATAGTCAGGAAGTCACTCCTGGTCCAGTGCGCAGCTTCAACAGTGAGATCCAGCAGTGCTCAGACACTGAGGATGGACTTTAAAGTGAGGGAGGAGACATCTTGTGTCCAGCTGAAAAATTATATTACGTATTTCATAGATTATGGAATCTTTTAATGAGTGATAAGGAGTAAATTATTGAAGCTACAGTTATTATTTATTTTATATATATTTTCATATTTAATTATATTTTGTCTAACTGTCTCTCTGTTGTCATATCGCCTTCTGAGTATCCTGTTCTTGCTTTGTCTGTTGAAGCACTTTGTAAACTCAAAGGTGCTGTATAAGTAAAGTTATTATTATCATTATTATTATCCTGTAAATGCCACTTAAGGGCTCATTTTCAGCAAACGTTACATAGTTTTGCTTTAGTGACGCTTCATTAGCTTTCATCAATGAATACACATCCAGGCATACAGATGTCAAAGGTCAGGAGTAACAGCACTCTTGCGATAGAGGGACATCCTCTGTCGCTGGAATAATGAAATGTAAACAGTGTTAATGGGTTTATCTGGAGGACTAGGTTGTTATTGTGGATTTCAGTCAGTGGCAGTAACGACTGAAAGCAGTAGATGTGTCTAAAATCTTTCAGGGGTGGAAAACAGGCTCCACAATGGGGGCTGGCAGACCAGACTAACCAGCCACAGATAAAGGTTGAGGCACATGTGGCTGGCGGTTGGTGGTGGATTAGCACTGCGGTGAGGTGATCGGGGGCTCTAAGCCTCCAAACCACAACCATTGCTCCAGGGATCATCCTGGAGATTAGGAAAAAAAGACTCAGGAGTCCCAGCGGGAGGAAGCGAAGTACGGCGCTCCGTCCTGCAGGGTTGCAAACACCCGAGGAGGAAGCTGATGAGAGGATTTATTTGTACATTAAACGGATGAAAGGTCTCCATAATGGAAGAGATGAATCATAACTTCACCAAAAAGTTTCCTAAAAACCTACCTCTAAAAACCAATTCTACATTTCTCACCAAAAGCAACAGTTCTGGTTCTTATGTCGACTTCACAATACGTGATTTTAACTCCGTACATCAAATCAGAGGCAAATCAGCAAGACCCCAGATTACAGACAGGTAGTTGTGTAGTGTGAATAAGGCATGAAAGCAGCACTGACCGATGAGGCAGGTCTTTCCAGTCCACTGAGGGGGACAGGTACACTTGAATCCATGAACCAGGTCCTGACAGGTCCCTCCATGGCTGCAGGGGTTCACCAGACACTCGTCCACATCTGAGACAGGAAAAGAAAGTCCATCAGTTTGTGAAGCCTAACAAGAGGAGGTTCAAAGAGGATCTGTTAAAGGGTTTCCGCAGGTCTTACTCATGGAGCAGGAGGGTCCAGTCCAACCGGGGGCACAGCGGCACTCAAAACCCTGACTGGTTTCCACGCAGCTTCCTCTGTTCAAACAGGGGTTGGACAGACAGGCACGGTCCGCTGAGACAGACAGAAACAGGAGGAATCAACTCACTAGTTTGGAACTGGAAAGTTTGTTGGACTTAACGCCTGTCCTCTGACCCCTGACCTGACTTCTCCACAGCTCCTCACCACATGATGGAGATCAACCTGCCAAAGGCTTTTTAGGTTGTTTTTTCCAGAGTGAAATCTGTCAGTACTGAACAATTAAATGTTGTTCTGTCTGTATCCTTTGTTATAATAAACTAGTTATTATTATATTAATATAACTAGTTATTTAGTCAGGACATAATATCTCAACAAAAGCTGAAAAGTGTTAAAGGCCTATTTTATGAATCATATCCATTCTTTTCATTGTGTTATCGTTTGGTTTTGGTGTCACTCTTATTCCCAATTGTTTTGTGATATATGTGATATTTTCCTTTCTGGGTCGTGGAACTGAACCTCGGACCTCTCACCTCTCTGACAGTTGACCCCAGAGAAGCCGTCGGGACAGGAGCAGTGGTATTTGTCTGGTCCCGTGTTGCTGCAGGTTCCTGCATTCAAACACGGCTGCAGCGTCGCACACGTGTTCAGATCTGCAGCACAAAGACGCAAACGAACACTTTAGACAGTCAGCCACAGAAAACAATCGTTTTATCTGACAGGGCATCAGGAGGCGTTCAGGTCGGCATTTTCCTTCAAATGTGTGTGTACCTTTGTCACATAGCTGTCCTCCATAGTTGGTGTCACAGAGACACTGCCAGGGCTCCACACAGCTGCCGTGGACACATCCAGGATGAGGGATACACTGGTCACAGTACTCGCCCTGCCAGCCATACAGACACCTGAGAGACACACACACACACACACACACACAGTTACAATTACCTGTAAGAAACAAATAAAACCGACACAGAACATAGAGCTCTCATAGTTGTCTCACTGTTTTACATACATAGGGAGCTCCTTGTGGGTGTTTTTAGTGTGGTGGTTCTTACTTGCACTCTCCAGGAACTTTACAGGACCCGTGTTCTGTGCTGCAGCCCTGCCTACAGATCGCTGCAGAGAGACGGAGAGAAACTGTAAGCAAACGTAGATGCGGCTGAAAGAACAACATGAATTTACACTCAGCAGCCGACTCTGTTGTCTCTGACATTTTCTTTAAAAAGATGCTGTGAAATCAGGCATTTTAGGCCACAACAAACCTAAAAAAAAGCCCACCAAATCCTGGAGGGACTGAGTAATGAAGTAGCCCAGTTTTTAATGCCACGTTCCTGTTGATCGTGTGTAACATTTAAATAACTAAATAATAATAAATGAAACATAATCGTATGTTTGTTAAATAAATGCATATTAGTTCCAAATATATGTCAAATCAATTAAAAACTGTTGATATGATTTGGAGATTATGCAAAAGTTGTATTTAATGGGCTGAAACAGTCAGAATCACCAGTATAGTTCTTTAGCAAACAGACCCATACATCAATACAACCCTTAGAGCACTCACCAGTGTTGCAGTCTGGACCAGACCAACCCTCCAGGCACGTCTTGTTGCCATTTTGGTCACACTCGTAGTGGCCAAAGAAGTCGTCTCTCGGGCGGCAGAACTTGTTGCAGCCGAAGCCGTAGTAGTGCTCGTCGCAGCTGAGGCGGACCTGAAAATGGAACTGAGCCACGGGACCGTTGTGCTTCAGGCTCTGCCACTGCCGGCTGGGGTTGATCATCCCAGAGTGAACTGCCTTCTCGATCACCGTCCCGCCGACGCCTGTAAATGACACAGTTTTGTCCGTCAAAACAAAACAAAAACAAGGCAGAGAGAAAAAGAGAGGCATCCTTGAGTTAGCTTGAAATGCTAATTTGTTGGGTACTTGTTGTTTTATAGAGATCTGAGAACAATGAGAGCCTCCTGGAAGGAGAGGCTGAAGCGAGTGAGTTGAGATATGCAACTGCACCGCTAGATGCAACTAAATCCTACATACTGGACCTTTCAAATTTGCATTGGGAATGCAATTCAATGCAAAGTTTTAGGGCAGTTTTCTGTTCAATCAATTTGAAAGTACCTAAAACCAGTTCTTCCAACATCAGTGCGTGCGAGAGGGACATCTAAGGTTAGGTAGTTACTGGATTGAAATGAAGAGAATGAGATGAGACAGGACCATGGTTGTGGATGCACCTGGGGCATATAAAACGATGTCATCTGCAAAAAAATAACGTTTAAAGTATTTATTAGGAGTAATTGTGTTTTTTATGTACAAGGTAAACAGCAAAAGAACAAGGATAGACCCCTGTGGCATCCCATTTCTGGTGGTACGATGGCTTGACTGATTGTTGCAAGTAGGTGGGATAAACGAGTGTGTATCTGAAGCTTTATGGGAAGTCGTAAACTATCTTCAACTGACGACAGGACAAACTGAAACGTTACTCTGCTGGTCTGTCTGAGAGGACTGCAGGTAGTTGTAGGTGCTGAGGGAGGCTGGAATATTCCAGAGAGTTTGAAAATGCTGAGCTGCTCTGTGGTATTTCACCGGCAGGGTGGAAAGTGTGGTCGGGGTGAGGTGACGGTATCTGTTTAACCGACAAGCAGCTGGGCCGAAAGAGCAGAAAAGAAACTCTGCATGAATCCTGAAACCTCTGAGCAAGGTAACACCGTCGGCCTGGGAGCAAACTGTGACACTTCACATCACGATGGGGAATAAAAAAGGTGCAAAAAATGGCACAGAGGTAGCAGATTTGAAAAATAGTTAACCTCACAAAAGGCTGGATCCGTTCCGTCCAGGATATTTGAGCAAATATTCAAACCTGGCACTTCATTGATGAATACCGCCTGAGCTTTCGAGCCAACACCTGCCTGAGAGCTGCGACTGAAACTCAGAAAGCTGGACAGAAGAAAACCCTTTTTTTGCCGTTGATAATGTCCTCCACATGTTTCCGAAGGGACAGTGTGAGACCTGGACTTTACTGCTTACTGCCATCTTTGTTTTCAGTTTAGCCTTTGTTACAGACGGCAGCAGAGAGCTGACAACGAAGGTCGTTCATGGTGGTATCTTAACCCCAGAGCCACTGAAGGAAGATACAACTGTAGATTTATTGAGCAAGCAAATTTCATTTCATCATACCACTGGATACGTGTTTCTTTTAGCTGATTTTGGTCTCTACCGACTCCTGAGGGAAATATCAGTCTCTTTAGCTGCTAAACGCTCCACCAGCTAGTAGGGCTGCACAGTTAATTATTATTATCAAAATTGCAATACGGCCAAGTGCAATTACCAAATATGTAACAAAAACATTATAATGAAGTACTGTAGTGCTGCAGTTTCCTGGCCTACAAATCATATTCTCCAAATGTATGAAAGCATTGTTTCTTTGGTATAAAACAATTTTTTTTCAGTGAAATGTAAATCTGTGATGCAAAAATGATCATCCTCACAAATTCTGTCTAAAAAATTGCAATATGATTTTTTTTACCATATCATGGAGTCCTACCAGCACGTCTCTAGCTGTGTCTTTCTGCTGCTGAGCGGGCAGTGTACTAGGGATGTCAGAAAACATCGATATTGAACATATTTTGTTTTGTGATACAGATTATGATTGATTCTCAAAAACTCGATCGAAGGGCTATGAAGTTGGATGTTACAGCGACACCCTTTGTTCTGATACAGATTTTAGGCAGAAGGCGGTGTTTTCCTTATACTTTTCCTAAAATTAGAAATTAAATTTGAAAAAAAAACCCAGCAATATATCACCTTGCTTACTGTATCAAAATACGTTATCATCGTGTCATGATATGTATCATATCACAAGTTCTTGCCAATACACAGCCCTACGGTGTAAACTGGGTCTATCAGAGCTCGATTAATGAAAACAGCTGTCTGCTGCTGTATAATCATGGTTATCATGATGAACAAAATGAGGAGGTTGGCTGCTACCTGAGCTGAATCAACAGAATGAGGCAGGTGTTCATTACAGGCCACGTGCCGGGGGGCACTTAGCTTGTTGATGCTAAACTGAGAGGGTCAATATTTGTTCTGTCCTCATTTGGTTTGACAGTAGTTTCAGCTTCAACCTGTCAGCTCTGTTTGTCTGCTGTAGGTTTTGGAACAAACCCTCCAAATGTCACACAGAGCTTCATCATTGTAACTCAACTTTCTGGTTCCATGTTTGGACTAAAAACTCGAATGAACTGGACTACCCATCCCCACCACCCCCCGTCCTCGCTGCCTGCACCGGAGCCCACCTGCACCGAGGTCAGTCGACTTCACACCGGGCCTATAATGGTTCCCTGTGGGACGCCAAATACAGCACCGAGCCAACACTCTCGCTCCAACTGCCTCGCTGACCGCTGGGTGATAAACAGACGCTCAAACTGAAGTTGCCAGCTTCACTCTCTCTTCACACACTCTTTACAACCAGTTTTCTGAATGGGACTCATCCAGGGCATGTAAACACCTCCACAGGTTGCTGTAAGGGGGGGGCTATTTAATTGCTGTAATAAACAAGAGGAGAGGGAACTTGAGAACTCCACGAGGGACAGAAAGAAGAATAATTTATCATTATTTATTAAAATCATTATTATCAATATATATTTTTTCAGTCTCTTCACCCTTTTGTGTTTGTTTTTCTATTCTACTGAAGTGTGTAATGGGACATTTTGTTCAAAGAAGCCAATCGGCTCATTTGCACTTTTTTATTTTATTTTATTTCAGACATGACGTCTTTATGGAATCATTTTTCACGACCTGCACAGCACAACACTCTCAGGTCAAAGGTCGAGTTAGTTTCAGTTGGAGGGGGACGAAACAGAGCAGAGAGGAATGAAAGCAGGATGAATGATGACGAGTACTCACTGCCAGAGGAAGAGTCGTTGTTGAAGTCCAAGGCCTCCACGATCAATGTGTACGACCTCTGCATACAGACAGACAGACAGACAGACAGACAGATAATTAATCAATGGAAACTAACCATTTAACATGATATCAAGAGAAATTCACCAGCTTATAATATGTGATGATTTACTTTTTTTGTTTGTGGTTTGAATAAATTGGATATTTTTGATACTTAAACAATTAATGTCAAAAACAATGGAACATACTCAAAACTTGCAGATAACTGCACAAATCTCATGATTCAAAATTCTTCAAATTCTTTAAGATTCAGTTACATCAGATAAATATTAATATTAAATAAATATTGGAAAAAAACAATCTCTGAATTTATGGTGGGAAATGTCTTATTTCACTTGGTAAGTAAAAAAATGAAATTGCTTAAATTTCACATTTTAGGCTTCATACTAAAAACATCCTACTGTTCTGCACCAAAACAGGGAGGGAAAATTGCATTGCATGTGTGTGTGTGTGTGTGTGTGTGTGTGTGTGTGTGTGTGTGTGTGTGTGGTGTGTTTGAGTCGCATTATTTCGTCTCCACTTTGAAACTCTTTGTCCCTCTTAAGGCCACTGTCGCTCTCACCGCTATCGAATGACAGACAGACCAGAGCCAGAGTGTGTGTGCGTATGTGTGTGTGTGTGTGTGTGTGTGTTATTGTGGTTTGAGTCTCTCTCTCTGTAGTAACACTCTCTCACATTCACACCATCCAAACTCAGAGCTCGACATCAACAAGACGGCAGAAATAAGAGTAGGGAGTCACAAAGATTGAAGAGTCTGTGGGTGCTTTGAGGGACTGGTTCCAGATTTAAACCAGAAGAGTGACGATAACTTTGTAAACTGGACCCTGCTGTAAAATGAATGCTGACAGAAACAACAGCATGGCTAATAGTAGCTTGTTATACAGCTATTGCTTCAGTGGAGATGTCATAAGTAACAAGAAACTGCACTGCAGCAGTGGAGAAATCATAGTTTTTAAGTCACAAGTAAATCTCAAGTCAGTCCAGAGACAAGTCCTACATCAAGTCCAGAGTAAAAACTCACCAAGTCCCAAGTCCTAGTCTAGGGCCATAATGTATCATCTACACAGTAATGGAAGTTAATGGAGTGATGCCTAATAGTGTCAACCAATGGAAGCATATATAAGGTGAAAAGAATCGGTCCAAGCACAGAACCTTGTGGAACTCCACGTGTCTCTGTAATAGGATGTGATGCTCAACAAATGCAGCACTAAGATCTATAAGTACAGAGTTAAAACCAACAGGAAGCAAGTCCACCAACAAGTCCAAGTCAAGGGCCTTCTTACGTATCAGCTGTGGATCAGTGGGTAGAGCAGTGTCGCGGTTTGAACCCCCAGTTCCCCCTTCCCATGCGTCGAGGGGGTCCTTATGCAAGACACTGAACCCTGAGTGGCTCCCTGGGCGCCCAGGGTTTAGATGATGATCAAATGCAGAGGACAAACTTTGTTTCTATGTATGAAAATGCTGTGAAAGGGATTTTATGTCCTTAAGGCATGCTTGTAATTTAGCTAATTTAGAAAATCTTTAGTCGGGGGCAGCCCTTGTTTCCAGGCTGTTTTCACCACAGCAGATGTGCACAGGAACAAAATCAGTTACCACAAATCATTGAAGTCTCTAAGTCACTAATATCAGCCCTGTGTGAGAGAGCTCGGCACTAACACCCGACCACCATCCAAACCACTGTGGGAAAACTTCCACAGAGCCGACCAAGCCAGAGTGGAAACACTAGAAACCTGGTGACATGACTCGATGGTTTCCTAGGTTGGTTGTGGCGTTGATGTCGTATCAGACTCTTCAAACTTCAACCTAGGTGGTCTTACATCATCCTGTCCACATTTACCAAACCCTGCTGATGTTGGCGTAGATCCACAGCAGCTAGATAAACTCTCCCCGACCAACACTCCGCTCTGCAGGAAACCACAGTCAGTCCGTGTAGTTTACAGATTAGTGGTTAGCTTGGGCTGTGATGTCAGGTTATCGAGCGCAAAGAGCTGCTGACAGGATTATTGGAGCATAATGAGCCATAACAAACACCACACAGGGGATTTGTGCATGTCTTATATAGGTTTCCTCTCTGATTCCATACATGCTTGCAGCCATGTAGCCGGATGTGACAAAATGTCCATACCGACAGATTTACGCCACAGAAAACAGTGTTCAATAGGTTTCACTGTGAGAGACACATATTTCTGCGTTTTGCAGCTGGTTTCAGTGATTCCACTGTTTTCACAGCAGATATTAACCATTTGTTAATAGGGTTAGGGTTGTCAACAAATGGTGCCCCAGTGCATCTTAAGCCTTGATAACACTACATTACACACACAACCTCCTGTCTGCCTGACTGATCATTAATTTCATCATCAATCAAACTAATACCATCAGAAAACCTTCTCAGACTTTAGCAGTTAGCTAGTGTTTCTGTAGTGGAGACTAAACGTTAACAATGATCCATATTAGCAGTTTGAATCCAACTAAAAGCTCCCTGCACCAAACTCCCTTTAAGAAATATCACATTTTAACAATTCCTAACGTGTTTGTAACAACACGTAACTCTAGAAACACAAGCTAAAGGCCGTCATATGTCCACAGTCTGACTGTCAATACAGGATCAATATCATCCATAAAGATACAGTGTATACTGATCAATATCATCCATAAAGATACAGTGTATTCTGATCAATAATCAATAAAGATACAGTGTATACTGATCAATATCATCTATAAAGATACAGTGTATACTGATCAATATCATCCATAAAGATACAGTGTATACTGATCAATATCATCTATAAAGATACAGTGTATACTGATCAATATCATCTATAAAGATACAGTGTATACTGATCAATATCATCTATAAAGATACAGTGTATACTGATCAATATCATCCATAAAGAAAAGAAAAAAAACATTTCTTGCTGAGAAGAAACAGGATTCAATAAGAATCTAAAAGTAGAATAAATAAAATCTCAAACCAGGCCTTTAAATCTGAGCGTGTCACGTCTGCAGTGTACCACAGAGCTGTTTACCCCAACGCCACATAACTGTCACCAATGCAGAACCGAGCTAACGCGCCAAAGCTGTGACTGAAAGCCTTCTGAACAACTCTTGCAACATCCTTGCGTCACCTCTCTGGCTGAAACACGATCTGGGCGTCGGGACTGATGCCTCCTGACCCCGGAGGAAAAATAAACGCATTGCCCACCAAACGCAGTGGGTGGCACCTCGAAATGATTTTAGCTTTTTAGAGCTAATTAGATTTTGAGAGCGAGAGTCTGACAGCTGGTTACCTGCCAACAGGTTCCACTCACTTCTTGCCAGAACATCTACCAGCATTCATCTGGTGATTTCCCATCACTCCCCGTCCCTTTGATTGTTTGATTGAGGAGGTGGAACTGCTTTCTCTGGCGGCAGGCTCAGTGTGGGAAAATAGTTAGAGAGCATGCAGAGCCAGGCGACATGTGGAGGCAGGTTCAGGGCAGGGAGGAGGGAGGTGGAGAGCTCACTCCAAACTGCAGCCTCTGTTTATAATCTGTTTGGTGGTTTATCTGACGCCTTGTCCAAGGCCGGCTGTCAACACGAGATTCAGTTCTCAGAGTGAAAATCGAGCAAATCAGCTGCTGCTACAAGCCCCTCCCCATCTGCCAGTCTTTACAGGAAACACATAAATATGAGGAAGCAAACAGCTCTCTGACTTCTGTTTCATGGAGACTTCAATCAATTAGTCATTTGTCAACATTTTTGATAATCCATTAATCTTTTGAGTCTGTTTGTTTTCCTCTGTTTTATATCATATTAAACTGAATATTTGTCTGTCCAGGTCCAGCGTGTAACATCTGGGAGGATCTATTGTCAGAAAATGCAACATAATATTCATCCTTTCATTATTCCTTTCAAGTGTTTAATCGCTTGAAAATAAGAAGCTTTGTGTTTTTGTTACCTGAGAATGAGACGTTATTATCTACAGAGGGAGCGGGTCTTCTTCTGGCGGAGTCCGCCATGTTGAACCGCCATGTTTTTACAGCAGCCCAGAATGGACAAACCAAACACTGGAGCTAGATAGCGGCTGGAGCTAGATAGCGGCATCTGTGTTTCTCCTTCACACTTAGAAAGTGCGGGTGAAGCGAGGGGGTTGCGACCTACACACTGGACCTTTAAAACTAAACTCTTTATTTGTGTGCCAATTTTTGTACTACAGGAACAAGAATGTTACATCGAGTAGGCAGAATCTGGTCTCGTTTAATTTCTATTAGAAATCAACGTGCAGAGACTTCCTTCATCCATCACTCTCGTCTACTGTTGACACGTCCTTACTGTGAGGTTCTGTGGATGAAAGCGGGACTGGTTGATTGTTTTGATTGTTTAGTCTGGAGCGTTTTAGCACTCGATGATAAAACTGATCGAAATCGCACGACTTTCAGTTTGACGAATCACCACGAAAACGAAAGTAAATGTCAGCAGCTTCATACGAAAGGAAGTGATGAGGGAAGGAAAGAGGGACAGAAGCAAGGATGGGAAAACAGTCACAGAGCAACTGGATGTTTCCAGCTTCCGTCAGCAGTGGGACGCTGGTCATCAGATATGTCCATGTTTGGTCGACCAGTGGAGCCACATCATGAACTCCTCTGGGCCTGGCACAGGATCCCCCTCTGCCCATAATTCACTGGGGCAGTTATCGGTTGGAAAAATGCTGGCAGGCTGAGCTTCACTTTCTCTCCATCCCTCCGTCACTCTTTGTAATGTCTTAACTGTTTCTGTGACTAGAGACTGGAGGGCTCGAACTGTCGCTGTCACAGCAGGACCGATAAAGACGGACGGCTCCTCTGGTTTGACATTCGTGGTTTTTGCATATCTATTTTTTTGACTGTGCATACTGCCTCTCCTTTATTCCTGTTGTGCTATGTGCCATTGCACCGTAATTTCATTTTGATACAAATCCAAATGACAAATAAAGTCTGTCTTAGTCTAAGTCTAAACGTCAATAAAACATGTCTGGCAAATTTACAGCGGCAAAACATTTACATGTGCTCGCCCATTTAAGGGTTAATGTGATATCCTCTTCAGACTTATTCTGAAAGGTTCTTCTCTTCTGACTCACTGAATCACTTAAATACCACCAATGTTCTGAAATCTACAGCATAAACAAATGTTCTTCTGTTTCATTAGTTAATGGATGTTCCACTGCTGGATAGGGTAAACTGGTTTATTAGTTTGTAATGTGCATGGAATAATGGAAATATATTACTTTCCTTTGTTTTGATATCAGCATTATATATGCTCTATAACCAGTGGTTCCCCACCTGAGGGTAGGGGCCCCCACTAGGGGTCGACAAAGCTTCACAGGGGGGTCGCAAGGCCTTTTTGATTTTATGGGGTGTAGGAACTTAAAAATAAGCCGATATTTCAGCGTTTGATTCTTTTTTTGTGAATAAAACTTAATGAATTTAATGAATATAATGTGAAAAATCCATTAAATATGTCAGGCGGGGGTCGTCAGTTCACTGAAAAGGTTGGGAACTACTACTGTAAACACAGTCCTGCAAGAGGGAAAGGACTTTAGAAACAGGAGTTGGGTGAAACGTATAAAAACTACAGAAGGACAGAGAGCAGGAGGGTGGATGAGTCTCGGGTGAAATCCTGCAGGTCTGGCACAACTTAACACATCTCGAGCCGCCGTCACAGCTCCAATAAACAGGACTGACGCACAGAGAGAGGCGGTCTGGGTCGTGCCTGCCAGTTTAGACTGAGGAGACAAAAAAGGGGGAACAACAACAACAGAAACGTCATCCTGCCCGACGACCACGACAGTTTCATTTAACACGCCAGTTACCAGGGTCAACGGCAGGAATGCCCCTCCAACAGCCTTTATGCACAGCGACGCAGGAGAAAGAGGAAGGCCCGCTGGTGTCCGAGTCGAGCGCTCCATCCTTGTTTGTGGCTCCGGGCAGGAAACCGGCAGCAGCCACTGATGAGCACATGAAACCGCAGCCAGTCTGCACAGATCTGGACTGAAACCAGATCGACCCTGAGGCGAGAAACCAAGCAGCTCGATCCCACCGGGAACATAAACAGGAGGCCGAAATGAAAAGCCTCCAAGAGCTTATAATTATCAGTCCAACCTCAATCAATCAAAACTATTACATAATTATTACTCATAAGCGGAATTTATGACTCAGAAAGTCATAATTACAACTTAGAAACTCATCGAACGGTATAATTATGAAATTTAATAGGTTTTTAGGTTTATTCTTGTAGCTTGTATCAGTAGAAATGTTACATAAAGAGGAATGTAACACCACAACTTACAAATTACAGGAATAAACCACTACAGAGGTGCAGTACGTCCTTCCTCCCACTGGGGGGCGCCTCACATCAAAACAATAATAAAGACAAAGTTTTCGTGTAGTAGCCACTGCCACTACTGCCGTTAGCTTCTCCCAGTTCTTAATTCTTTCTTTCTAATTCCTGGACTGATTATATGTAAATAATTAGTCCATTAGCTCAATGCTAACACATAAAGGGAATTACCTTTACCGCGCTAATATTACCTTTAACGGTCCATGTGGGGACGTCATTGACCCAAAGAGCTTCAAATATCTAGAGCAGTTTCACTGTTGAGGGGAACACGAGGGAGCAAGAGACTGAACATCAGACCAAAACCAAGAACATCATCCGGATGATTCAGTTCTGATTCAGATCTTTGGTCTTTGGTCGAAGAAGCAACAGAAGAACAACCAAACCTTCTCAACACCAATGACGAGCTGTAGAACGTCTGAACTCACCGGCCACGCGAAGCTGAACGGCAGCACGATCCTGGCTTTGTCGCTCTTGGCGCCACGTAAAGAAAAGGTATTCCCACCGAGGACCGGCGTGGAGGCGGTGCCGAAGCTGCAGGGCCCGGCCGAGGAAACCTTCAGCTGGTACTCCTTCAGACACACTCGGAAGTAGGTGTCGCACTCGTCCACCGTGCACCGCCGATCCGTGGCGTCCCGGGAACCGTCGCAGCAGGAACCGGTCTGCAGCTGCCCGTTAGCGTTCTGCATCGACAAAATCTGGAGCTCAAAGTGTCCTGAAGCCGAAGAAACCTGCAGAGAGGACGGACAACAAACAGGAGAGTCGGTTGTTTGAAAGGCAGTTATTGAGTTAATCGAAGACAGTTTCCTAATCGATGAATAAATGATCAACAGAAGAGTCAAATGTTTGCTGGTTCCAGATTCCTAAATGAGACCATTTGCTGCTTTTATCGTCATCGTATCAGCTGCAGCTCCTGGAAGTGTCTCAAGAGAAAATATAAAACAATTTCAAGGTTCACACTCTATTTAACAAATCACTTTCCAGGACCTTTTCCAGGACTTTTTGTTTTTTGAACACTACAGGACAGCACTTGCCTACAAACGCTCATAAAAGCTGCGGTTTCATAAGTGACAACATTAATTCAAGCACAGCTCATCAGTAACAGTTCACATCCAGTCCAATTTATTCTATCTTACAGAAAATGCATCTTCTACAAAGTTAAAAGTGTTTAAGTCCCGTACAGTCAACATCAGTGTGCATGTACTTATAAACCACAGCAACAAGAGATGTGATGGTTACAGCTCTGCAAGTCACAAACATCTCCAGGACAACAGATTATTTCCAGCGTATTTGCTCATTTCAATCAATTTCCAGGTGTTTCCACGACTGGAAAACCAGACTGTGCGTCGGGGCTGCGTGGGAACAGCCTGCGGTTTGACTGGAGGAAAACCAGGTGAAGAGCGGTGTCACAGAGTTCAGTCCGCCTGCCTCCTTCGTGTTCCGGACACTTTTACTTTCCCCTGCAGGATCTGATCACAGCGAAGGATCCCGATCGATGCTGCGAGTCCAACAGTCTGTGGCCTGAGAGCTCCAAACGCCGGCCCCGTGAGCCAACGCTGACCAAAACCAAAAGGAATCCATGTCCCCACAAGAGTCCCATTAAAACACGACTGATTCCTGCACACAGCTGTAAATATTAACTACTGCTCCCAATTTAGAGTTAGAACTGCAACATCTGCTTTAGTTTTAACCCCTCGAACTCCCTGATTGTGTGCGAGGGGAAGAATTTAAAGAATGTTTGAGGTTGATTAATAATTAACTTAAAGGATTCGGATCATTACAGCAGAACTTTATCAACATCAGGATATAAAATATATTAACAGGTGAAATCGAATGATTCTATAGTTTCATCTAGAAATAGATTTTGTGTTTGGCTCGTTACTCAAAAAATGTAATTTCTTACTCATTACTCTTCAATAGTAATATTATTACTTTACTTAATACTCCCCAACAATAGTAACTAGTTTGAACGGATTATTAATCAATCAGAACCTAATAATAGGTAATTACTGATTAATAACAATCCAGTAATATTGGATATTAGTTAATATTATAATTGTCATTAGTTAGTAATTAGTTACACTACTAGTTACTGGGTAAAGTGTATATATATATATATATATATATATATATATATATATATAGTGTGTCAGGAGTTGAACAGGAACTTTTCGGAAACTTTCCTGAAGGTTTCAGTCTGTAAATCCACATTTTATCCCGAACATTCGTTTCGAAGGAAAAGTTAAATAAGACAAATAAGAGCGGGACCCTGGCGTACCTGGATGCGGGCAGAGAGCAGCAGGATGAAGGGGAGGAGGACGGAGCTCCGTGTGAGGGGCATGCCGGCGGCGGGCTGCTGCCGGCGGCGGGCTGCTGCCTGGCGGCTCTCGGGGCTCAGTGTTAGTCGGTGCGACCCTCCGCTCCCGGTTTATAACCCCCCGGATGGGACATGCACCGAGCTGCAGCTATTCTCTCCCACAGAGTCCTCCACAGAGTCCCGGTCCGACCCGATCCGTCCTGCACCGGAGCCTTTTGTCTGCTATTGTCCGGGTTTCTGTCACCAGCTCCGGCTGAACGTCCACACACTGACTGACTGCAGCTGGAGCGCGGACTGCACTTGGATCGGCCCCCGGAGCAGGCTGGGTAATATCAACCAGCACTGGGGGGCGGGGCCTGTGCACAGACCACGCCCACTGCTGCATATTAATGAGCAGCGGTTTGTTTACAGTCAGTTCACATGGAGGTGCAGAAGTGCTTTCACACATGGAGGCTAAGAACCTCCGAAACCGACCTGAGAGCGGTTTCATATGGAGGCACATGTGACAGAAAAAAGACTCAAGTATCGATAATATATTAACTCAATATATTATATGAATTATATTAATATATATTAATATATTGAGAAAGTTTCTCATTATAATCACTTACCATCACATTGGCACAGATGAGCTTCCACAGTTTAACGTCTGATCTAGAGTCGGTGTTTGTTTTGTTCGGTACGTTTTGGCTCTTTAAAAATCATTCACAAACACAAACAATACGTTTATAAAACTAATGAGCAAAAATGTTTATTTGCTTAACCCTTTCAAAATAAGAGGCTTTGGTAGTGTAACAGGTCATCCACACATTCCTGCAGTGACTGTCACAATGACCACCTGATGATGTCACATCACCCCCTTCATCACCATCATCATCATCATCATCATTGCAGACTTATACAAATACAGCACATTTTCTATAATTAAAATACAGTTTTAGCTTTAATTTGACATTTTTGGCTACTTTTGGCTTTTTAATAATTACATTTTAAAACAATGATCTATAAATCCAGGTGAACTCTGCTATAATACAATAATCAGACTTTCATTTCCAGCAGAGTGCTGTTATTATTGGATTGTTATTATTTTAATGTGATGTTAAAAGTTATAGAAGTGTAATAAAAGTCATTATCTGTGAGATTACAGTAATTATTGCTGTTTACACTGATAACAACTGTATTTGGACAGTTTACCTTATACACTGATAAACAACATTTATTCAACGTCCATCATTATACAACATATCTGTCAGTTAACTAACTAATACATTAAAGTTACACAACTAATACTTTTTACTGTTAATGTAACAAATGTTTCATAATTTTAGAAATGTATTAACAGTATTAGAGTTGAATTTAACAGTTTAATCTATTAAATAAGTTAAACAGTAAATATATGTGAAAAAAATTATAGATTTGCAAAATGTATTGTAATCTTTTTATGTGAAAAAGGGAAATTTTCTTTAAATAATCTGTAATTTTATATCACATTATTTTACATTTAACGTAAATTCACAGGATATTTTGTAATTTAATTAATATTTCCATCTATTTAAATACAGAAATAAAATAATATAAAATATAAAATAAATGTGAATAACCCTGTAAACTCACAGATTTTCTTTGAGAGCGTATTAATTCAGCAGAAAGGTAAAACAAACAGATTTATGTACAAAACTATACGTTTAAATCCGTCAGCACCAATGAAAACGCTGTACAATATAAAACATGGGAATAAGAGTAAAGATTATGTAAATCCAGAGCAAAAGATATCTGAATGTGCCCAAACTGGGGAGTGGAGGAATGAAAGGAGGCGGTGACGGGAGGAGTGGGGGGAGGGGCTGATGGGAGGAGGGGGGAGGCGGTTGAGGAGGTTGATGTTTCTTCATGAAATCGAGCTGAGCGACAGAACAAAGGTGGCCTCCTCTTTATTCTCACATTAGAGCAGCTGGGCTCTTTTCCCTCGAGGAGCGCCATGAATAGATTATTGGACTGCTATCACTGAAAGGGAGACAAAACACTCCCCCCTCCCTCACCCAGACCACCAGCCCCACCTCCAACCCCCCAACACCGAAATCACAAGGACCTGATGTGGACCAGGTTTGAGGTCCATCTGTAAAATCTGTAACTTTATGGGGTTTTTCACGTTTATTTTACATTTTATTTCTATATTCTGTATTTAAATAGATGGAAATATTAATAAAATTACAGAATTATCTTGAATTGAATTTACATGTTCAATGTAACATAACATGAAGAATCTGTAAATAATCTGTAAATGACTGATTATTTAAAGAAATGTTCCCTTTTTTCACATAAAGTTAATTATTAATTAGGTAATTCATAAACTTAAAACGCATATATTTTCCCCTTATTTAAATTAAATAAGAAATAAATTAAATTTAAAAAACTGTTAATACATTTATAAAATTATGTAAAATTAGTGACACTTATTAAAAATTTTTTTTTGTTGTTTGTTTAACTGACAGATATGTTGTATAATGATGGAAGTAGAATAAATGTTGTTTATCAGTGTATAAGCATATAAGGTAAACTGTCCAAATACAGTTGTTATCAGTGTAAACAGCAATAATTACTGTAATCTCACAGATAATGACTTTATTACACTTCTATAACTTTTAACATTCACATTAAAATAATAACAATCCAATAATAACAGCACTCTGCTGTAAATGTAACCTGATTATTGTATTATATTGAATTTAAAGGTAATATCTAAAACTGTAATTATAAAAAATTACTGTATTTTTACGAGTCTTTTCTGTTCTTTTACAGTATGGGGGTCTCGCCCATACGGCCGGCCGACTCAGACAATGGAAAAACTGGATATTTTCAAAGGGATTCCATGACCTCTGACCTCTGACCTTAGGATATCTGAAATGGAAAATGAGTTTTTTGCATGCAGCAAGTATTATTAGGGTCCATAAACAGTCCTGGAATTATCTGACAGTGTGTATTTCTACAAGGAGCAATGATCCATTAATGACCTTAATGAAGCGTCAACCATCAGTCGTCTCCCACTTCAACACTCCTCCCATCCCGCTGTGCAGTGCTGCTTACTCAGAGCGCCTCGTCAGACCTCTCATACCGTCACCAAGACAGACACTCACAACCAAACCTTTCCAAACTGTGAATCATAAAACTGTTTAATCTTTCACATTGGAACTTTTTACCTGGTTCATCTGGTGTTCGTCGTGTTGTGAGTCACAGATGGAAAGCAGACAGTTGTTCTGATATCAGGCGAGCTAGTTAGTAGCATGGAGCTAACGGTCCAAATAAAATATAAGAACATTGCAGATAGTAACGTTATTCTAAATATGATTGTCAGTTATTGTACAGCGTTCAGTGTTTGACGCCCAGGATGACGCTCGCTGACGCCTACGGACTGTGTACGAGCAACAGGACGCTGACTGCAGTTCACTGAACGGCCACTGGTGGCGCTGTTAACTACAGTTTAATGACAGTTACATAGAGAAGCTTTAAAGGTTATACCTGATTCCTTCTTCTCCTGTGAGTGTTTCTTAAAGTAATCTACATCTATACCATACTGAGCCTGTGCTGTGACCTTTGACCCTGGACCTTTTTCTGCTTGTGTTGGTTAATGAACTAGAGCTCGCCCAGCTGTCTCCCTCCCTCTATGCTCCTCTGTACTGTAAACCCACATTACGAGGACACGCTGTGAATGAATAACCCGCTCTGCTCCTCGTTCTGTGTGAAAACTTCCCACTCTTTCTTTCTGCGCTCCTCCGTCTCTGACCTCGGGGTCGACGGCGTGGGGGAGGCGCCGAGTGTTTCGAAACAAACTTGACGCTGAAACCTCGAAACAACCACAAAGGTTAATCAGCGGCCAGAAGCTCGGCTCTGCTGCTCCACCAACATGACTCGTCTGATTTAACCACAGCTAGCTGAAGTACTGTGTGTGTCCTCTGTCCCATAGAGCCCCATTGTGTCCAAATACTATTACAAACACATCAGTGAGCCGCACTGTTGTTCCTCCATTACCATTAACACACAGTTTATTCTGACTCCGACATACACCGTCCTGCTGCCCCAAATACTCACTAAAGCACCGAATGTGGATTAATCCTCTGCTGACAATAGTCCCCAACAAATTCACTATTTCCTCTGGTAGTAGCATTTCAACACTTCCAGTTCCCTCGTGTTAAAGTCAATGGGTTGAACGAGATCTGTTTATATGCCTGAAATAAGGAGGAATTTAGCCGAAAATGGTGCCGATACGTCATTTTCTCCAGTTTTATCAGAAAGCTGTTTTAGACAATGTTTATTTTGATAGGCGAGTTGTTTTTATTGTTTTATGTGTTTTATTTATGATCATTTGACAGATTATTTAATACTTAAACACATCCTGAGGTTTAAAATGTCTGAGTTTCCAGTATGGAGGTTTTACCGCCATAAGTAACAGTAACAACAAGGATTTCTATCAACGAGTAACAACGAACAACTTCCGTTCAAAGTCAAATTTAACCAAAGTTGTTCCACATTAGTTCAAAATATTATTGTATATATATATTAATAGAACATGTGTGAGTCTTTCTGTAACATTATCTTATAAAATGAGTTTTACTACTTATTTACTTTACTACTTTTGCGAATGTTAGAAGAAGCTCTTATGCGTCTACTCAGAAAGGTTTTGTGGAGAAATGTGTTCATACTGGCACTGAGACTGAAAAATGACCAGTCCAATAATCCCAGTTGAGGACAACGGCAGTAAAACCCTGCAGACTGAAGCATCTCGTCCTCTGTTTACTGACAGATGCCTTACTGTCTTCGGTCTGTTTGAGGGAAATGTAATTAGATGAAGCTGCTCTTTGCTTTGTGAAATGAAGCAGCTCTGTAAACACTTGATGCACTGATGTTAATGTGAGTTCAAAACCCAGCCCGAGCCTGAACATGAAGGAGTGAATCAGCCTGTTTTAGGGCAACAGAGTAAAGACTCTATATATGTATATGTAAATGTCTTAAATATGTGTCTGTATGACTGAAAACAAATTCCATTCATATTCCAACACTAACCACTGATATCAGCATTTTAAAACATTCACATTCGTTCGATCCAGTCGATACGATGCCTGAACCTTCTAATAATTTGAAAAAAATAAAAATATGTATACAGAACTTCTGTTTTATAAGAACTTGGATAGAAAAAAGTCTAATATTAACGTACATTAAGTTTACATCAGAAACTATGTGATCAAAGAATAAATGAACAAACACATTAGAGCTGTAAAGATTCAACGACCAGAGT